CCATAGCTAGATGTGAAGGTGACTGACTCTCACTCAGATGGCCCCAGTTCGAAACCCAGCAGGAGCATCATCAGGACAGCATATTCAAAGCAAAGGAGCATCAGGAAAGAATATTGTGAACAGAAAGCACAGCAGAGATGAAGTAAAGAAGAAAGAAGATAACACAAAGAAAGCAAAGTAAAGAAGAAAACAGCAGCAATTGAATGGGAATTTATTTTTCTCTTTTTCTGCTCCGTATCTGGGGTCGTTTTCAGAATGGATGTGCAATGGGTTTCTGAATGGCTTGTACAACAGTAATTAAAAGGGCGGGTGGGGGGTGGTCGCATGCATGCTGGGAAACTGGGGGCGTTGGGAACCCATGCTAGCATGCGTTCCAGAACGACACAGGGAACGATGCTCCCCCAGCCGTTTTAGGGTGACCAAACGACCATTAGCCCAACGACCGCGTCAAAATGGGGTGCCAATGGAGTTGCAACGCAGGTTGCAATGGCAACATTATTTGCTGGGTTTACGTTCGTCCGCATCTTGGGGCCCCATCTTATAGTTTATCCGTTTCGTTCGTAAAAATTGCGGTTCGGGTCTTACGAAGGAACGCTTTTAAGTTCAATTTCATTCCGACATCGAAATGAAATACATGAAGTACTGACGACCAATACAGTATCTGCAATGGGTTTGATAGGATAATCTCGAGTTATCAACTGAAAGATCATACCATCCATATTCCTACCCAGGGTTGGCCTCATTTGTGCGCACGTGACATCATCGGACAACACGAGATAACATGCCCATAGTTTTTTTTATTTCATAAATGATGCTTTGAAAAAAGCTCCCGTTTCGTCTATGGCTAAAGATTTATAATCCGTAATTTCAAAATATCGCCAAGATTAACCTTTAATGCTTTCTGAACTCTAGCGATGTAAAAGCTGATGGACTGAGTGCGGTATTAAATAATTTTCAGAGGTTTCGCATAATACAAATTTTCTCCGTCTTCGTAAATCTTAGGAGCAATGCCATTCGAGTCGCTGAAAAAACGTAAAATCAGCATTTTCTGAGTTTCGGGACATATTTCATAGTGCTGTACATACAATCGTTTTATAATGGCATTTAAAAGTTTCTGATATCGCCTCCCTATCGCCTGAATGGGAAACGTTGAGGAAAATGTTGAATCACCCCTTCAGTGAAATGCTGCTTGTAAATGTTCCTGGTTTTTATTATGGGCTTCATTTTTATGCGGATGGTTCCCTACTTTATCGACGGGATCATCCACTTTATTGTGTTGAGAGTTGATGAGTAAGCGAAGGTCACTACTTCATGCACCCTCCACATGCTCATTGGGATAAACAGGAGAAGAAATGCTAGTTCCTTTGATTGTATTGGGCGGTAGTTGAGCATCAGTATCATCAAAACAATATATCCTTGTTTACTCCTGACTTATAAGCTTATACAGTGCTGCTAATAATAATAGTTTTGCGTTTATCTCTCACTCTGAAATTCAGCTCGACGACGGAAACTTTTTTGCATCGTTTTTGATTCTCAGCAACTGCTTATACAGCACTGTATTTGATAATATTCAAGAGTTGGGTACGATTCCAAGTAGATGTGCTAGACAATCGACTGCTTAATTGTGCGAAGATAATGTATAAAGTTCTTATTCATGTACCGTCCATCAATTTTCTTGGAACAATTGTTCATTTCCCGTATATGCTGTATAGTACCTAAATCAGTGTGCATTTTCTCATCAAGAATCTAACAAGACACAGCCTTTTCGTGATATGGCGAAAAGCTTAGCATTTAGTTTACCGCACAACGCAGGGTTTCTGACAGAAAATTAGAGCAATATGAAGGTTAAGGCAAAATACAATTTTTATTGAGCAGTTCCAGAAGAATTTTGACGTCATCATTTTGTTCAAATTTTTTCGAAAAATTTCTTTGTTCATGTTATGGAAAAAAACTTCAAAAAAATGGCACAATAATTCAAATTTTCCCAATTTTGAAACAATGGAAATTAGAGATACTGTACTCTATATAAATTGTTTTATTTTTGTGAATGAAAATAGCTCAACTTTCTCAAGAGATATCAACATTCTTTACTATGCTGTATAAAAAAATAGTCCATCTATCATAAATGTTGGAAAGTGCCCCTGCTGTCTTGACTCTTGAGACATTGTTGTGACGTCGTAAAAAATTTCTTAGTTATGTGTCCCTAACTCGAATCGCCCATGTGTCGTGGCGTCCGTATTTCGGGGCGTTCTTACGTTGGTGTCTGTAAAGTATTTACCAAGGCATTTTTTTCATCTCTAACATCTGTGCACCTTTTTCTTGGAAAAAATGCAAGCTTTTGTTTGGTTTTGAACTTGTTAAAATATTTCAATATTACATATGATGTCAATTTGCATAAGAATTTCGCGTGCCTCAAAAAATTTATGCAATCTTGAAATGAAACTTATTCAAGGGAATTTTCGAATCTGATCAGCGCATTACCTGCATAACAATATTCGCTTTGGGATCCAATTTTTTTATGGGATCCAATGAACTCTATTTCAAGTTGAAATCCTCGAAAATAGATTCATCTGCATGTTCATTCTCCACAAGTAAAAAAAACATTTAATGATCCTACAAAAAAGTTTTTTGGAAAAGGTAATGAAACACCTACGTTATCTATGATATTACAAGGTAGACAAAATAATTATCCTTTCCATGAGTGTCAAGATGATTGATGAGAAAATTTTGGGCAAAAATTGTGATGCTGTGACAAAAGATAGGCAGTTGATCGCACTCAGAAAATCTGACCATTAGCTACCTGCCTTCGATTTAAAACATTTTGCATATCGGATGATGTGCAGTATACAGTATAAGGCCACAAAAGGAGCGTTTTCGCGTGGAGAGGAAACTTTGAACAATTATATGCAGAAAGCTCGAACTAAAAGTGTAACGCTTGGAGTTACGTACAGTAGGCAATAAATACTGTAATGAGCTGCACACAAACATAATACACAAACGTGCAACGGGGGGAAGGGACACGGTCATGTGCATACCGTCTGCATGCCGACTCTTGTTCCTTCGACCGATGAACACGACTTTGCCCTCGTTAACGTGGCTTCCGGGCACAACGATTGTCGTACCCCAGGAAGCTGGATCAGGTTCGCGAGTCATTTTGCCAAAATCGATTGATGTCATTAGGGGCAGGCCTAGCGAGGAATTGTGGGGATCTCGGCTTCTGCCCGAGCGAGACCACGGCAAAAGCGACACCGAGGTCTGTGATGTGCCAGTATTTTTCTGAAATCATGCAGGTTCTTTAATTTGCTCACCTTTGAGGACGATGGATCCTCGAGACTCCCCAAGCTGATTCCGCGCGACGCATTCATACCTTCCGAAGTCGGAACCAAGTACTTTTTGAATCCTGAGGACTGAAGTGGTTCGATGATTCTTGCTGGTTGTCCTAATGGAGTGTCTGTGAAGTTAAAAATAAGAAAAATGACGATTTTCAATTATAATTGATGTTCATATATTGTGAAAGTCTCAGTAGTGGATGACAATTCGGTCTCGGGATGGTCGACGAGGCCCTCTAGGATCCAGCAAACACATCAACTTATTTGAATTTCCTCAGAATACAGAAAGGAGGATTTAATTTTTTTTGGGATTAGGCTTTTGGCTTGATGTTGAGTTGAGCTTTGGCCAAGTGAGTATTATTTGAAATTTTTTCATGTCAAACGCCATGTTTTGAGTCTCGAAGTTTAGAGTCGAAATACTCCATGCAAAATTTTGAAACATCATATGAAGCTAAATTATTTGCTAATACTGAATGCTACACGGGTTTCGGTTGACTTTAAGTTTGAATTTTCATAAATTGATGATGAAACTTTGATTCCTCGAAAATTGCACATCATCAACTGGAACAGGAGTTGTTGCAGCACAGCAACAACTCACACAGCAGTTATTACTTTTTACTACTTCATTAATTTTTCACGCGAATAAGTCTAAGAAAATTCATCATATTTGTTGCGCCTAGGTTCTCTTCTGTCAAGCATTAAATGTATTTTTTCATTATACACATTTGAAAAAGGCAGGAAAAAGGAGAAGATAAATTTTTCCCTGGAAATCTCTCCGGTTTGTCCTGCACGTTTCAGCATGAAGGAACACAATTTGATTCATTCATTGAAATCAATGGCTATCGTTTGAGTCTTCAGGCAGAAAAGCCAAAATATGTCATGAAAGTGGTGCCAGGGTATTCACTTTAGAGACCCACATTCTTTGTAATCTCGAAAATCCCAGGACGCACCTGTCAAACAATTTTGGAGCATGGCCTTCTCCTGGTGCAGGTTGAAACAAATTTACATAGCAGAAAAATGTTGAATAAGTCAACTATGACAGGAAAGAGGGAAATAGAGATGAGAGAGAGAAATTATCAAAAATATCCAGACTCGCCGACACAAAAACGCGTGAAGCAATGCATAGATGTTAGTCTTTCACAATCGACATTCTTGCACTATATGAAGTACAATTCTATGGATTCCAGTCAAATTTTATTGCAATATAACTTCAGTGATATTTCAAAGTAGCCTTGCGATTTGACCATATCCCGCAATTCTTCCATCCTGCAATTGGATGCTCAAATTTCTGGGGAGGTCAACTTGCGATTTGACTCCTGTCCCACAATTTGACCCAAATAATAAGGGAAAAAAATTAATTTGATGTTGACTCATAATTTGACCACTTCACAATTCAACCCTAGTCCAGCAATGGATTAGAGTCAAATTGTAGGGCACCACGTGTATGTTCTACCTGAACAAAATAATCTTGAATGCATATATTTCTTGGCAAGGAGATGTAAATCAACCAAAGACGCATACGTCTGCTCTTCATCAAACTTTCCTGCCTGTTTGTATATACCGTAGCTTGGCAAATGAAATCAGAGGGAGAACAAAATGGCACAGTGAAATTGGTTGCGTGTACTTCGTTCCGCTACGTTGCACCAACACAGTATACACCTAAACGCGATAGAATAGAGCAAAACACCGGGTTCTGAGGGATTCGTTCCAGGGGTAAACCCTTGGTCTGCTCACTATTACTTGGCAGACGACGGTTGGTCTCATCCATCACTGCGAGACGCGCCCACCGTTTCACGTATCCCAAGGATCCCTGTTTTTCTTTCTTTCTCGGGCTTCACTCCATAAATACAGGGCAACACTGAGGTGGCATTTCGTGCGCCAAAGTGAAGTATGCTATCCGAGTTTTTCGAAGTCTTTTAGAGTCGAACTAATAAAGCAAAACCTCAAGCTAGACACCCTCCACGCACGATAAGAAGAATGCGGGAATTCACTTGGACAACTCGCGGCCTCCTCGAAATGATCTCGTTATTGAAAGAAAATTCAAAATGCAACCCATCAGAAAGTTTCTTATTCATGCCTTGCTTGACCAAGTCATTCAATTTGACCCAAAAGTTGAACAAAAAGTATCCTTGCAACGTGACTCAAGTAATGTCCAACATAATCAGGGTATCTGATTGCGCATATACGGTAAAATTTAAGGACGGGCATGCATGTGGACGATGACTTGCTCGTCAATATTTAGGTAACGTCATTCAAATTATCTCTAGCCGCATCCGCAATAAAACTTGGTCAAGTTAAGCGTATTGATCATTCACGCTTTCGATCACTCACGACTTTCAAATATCGGGCAAGAGGATCATGTCGTCTTCCAAAATACTGGAGAATCCATTTTACAAAAACTTCATTTCTCGGGCAACCATCGCCGTCGAAAATATTTGTGAGTTACAGTATTTTTGGGGTTGAAATAAAATAGGGCTTCAATAAACTGGAAGCGTAGCCCTTGTGTTCTGTTTTCAAATCGTGAGGTGTAATACAGCGGAGCCTCTTTGAGACGATCTTGAGGGATCTAGCTAAAACTTAAATTTTAGGGAGTTTTCAAGTTTGGGAAACAAGCATGTTCGCCAAGGGAAAGAAAAAAGAATGACATGCAATTGTAATTTTTGATATTCTGGGCCTTTGCTTCTCAAATGAGATGACAGGATGCTGACCGTGGATGCAAGGGTTTTTCTGCCAATTCAGTCTTTCATTTCTTTTCAGAACACATCCAGTTATATTTTTACTGTGATTTTCTCTCCTGTGCCAATACAATAATATCCAGAAGACCTCCAGGAAATTTGCGTTGGGGAGAGCATTGAGGGAAGAAGAATTGAGTTGAAGAGGTTTTCAATTCATTCTTTCTAAAGAAAAGTCATATATAGAGATCCAATGAAATAGGATATAGCAGTTGGAATTTAATTGCATTGGTAGTGTGGAGAAAGATATCCAGAATGTATTTCTTCCAAAACTTCAACCAGGATATAAAGTTCAAAAAAACAAATTGAGGATTGATTTATTCAATTTTCACAAGTGTCCAAGCAGTGTAATTACAGCAGCATAAATTCATTGGCTAATGCATCACCGGAGGACCTTCTTTTCTTATGTCCAGCATTCCACAGCTACGCAAGTGAGCTTCAAGAAGATTTGGGACTCTTAAAATTTGATGTAAAGACTCTTTCTGTAATCTTAGAGGACCAAGAGAAATTCTTAGCTTGATATAATTTCTCCACAAAGATTCTCTCAAAATTGTTCACTCAATTAAAACTAGCACTTACCAGGGAGCAGGTTGAACACTTGTTGCTTTAATTTGTGTTCAGTAATTTCTGTTTTCTGTAATTTTAATACTGGTACTGTTACTTTATTTTTGTTAACTATTGGAGGGTGGGGGAGGGAGGTTATTCAGATCAGTTGTGCATTTGTACATCATATGATTTATTTTCTTTTTTGGTTATACACAAATATAGTGCATTCCTCTACTTTACATCTTGATGTGATGGAATGAGTTTTGATGGATGTGGGTGAGGAGGGGAGGGTCTGTGGATGTGGGAATATTATTTGAACATTGTGAATGCTGAAAAGCAGAAAATAAAGCTTGTTCATTGATCAATGGATCAAAGACGCCGAATATAGTAGAATTGAACTGCGCAATGATGCCAAGCTTTGTTTATGCAGGCGACTCCAGTACAGTATTTGGGATGCTTTTTCGCAACGCAATCGAAAGCGAAAAGATTTTCGGAGATGAAATTGGAAATTTCTGCTGAAAGCCAAGATACGCGTACTACTTCCGTGCTTCTGTCTTGCAGAATGAATTGGCAGGTTACGTGAGTTTTTCCTTTCCCTGTTTCCCTCGCTTTGTGTTCCTGGCGCTTGGCTGTCCAGATCCGTCATTGTTTCCCCGTCCCCTCTGCTCAAAACCCATTTCATTTCCCGGGATCCTAAAAATTTAATTTCCAACCCCGCGATCGTACCCGGGGATGATCAATAGCGAGCGACGAGGGAACAAAAGTTATTGTTGGTCGTAAAATACTCGCGAGTTTTTTTCTTCTTCTTCTTTTCGTTCTGTTTCTTGCAACGATCCTCGCGCAGAATTCCTCCAAAAAAACGTCCATCTTATTCGAAGGAATTGTTCAGCGAATGCAGCAGGCAAAGTTCGAGACCTAACTGTACATGCCATACGGAGTCGCGATGCTTTCCACGTTTCAAGAGAATTAAATTTGAATGAATTTGAGGACACACAGTATCGGGCATCATCCATTCTTCAGTGCAGTTCATGAGATGCTGGTCTCGATCTCAAAATGCTGAATGTGTGAGGAAGCAGAACTGCTTCTGACTCCCGAGCTCACATATGTGGCACACTTGAAAAATGAAATGTTTCGAATAATTAACTCACCGGGTTCCGTCAAAGATGAAGGTGTGATTGAAGGTCCAGAAATGCTTCCCACTCGGATTTCCTTCATGCACACATTGTAGAACAGCATTGTGATTCAAAGGAATCGACGTTTGTGCAATTGTTGCATTGGTCACAGGGGGAACTGAGAAAATATAATGTCATGCGGGCATTCGCATCATTTTCGAGTGTATTGCAATTACTTCTGTGCTTGAAATGGACTAAGGAGTAAAAATTATAATCTCTTTCCTCCAAAAGGCAACGTCACATCTAATTTTAATACTGTCTTTTGGTATCACACAATACTGCATCAGAATTTTTTTGTAAACAATTATCTAGCATATTATAGAGCGTTTATTACCACCAGCAGTAAGATCTTGTCCCCTGAACTCCAAAGGACCTGAGACAATTTAATTCGTGTTAAAAATTCGTTTTACCGAGATTCTTGCTTCTTTGAGCATGTTAGGACTGAAACTTTGTGGGAATCAGGTCAAACATATGTTCAAGTACCTCCACAATGAAAAATTACTGCATGTGAAGATTTGCCCACATTTTTAACTTTTCTGGATAAAATAATACAGACATTTCTGACTTTCCCTTTCATTATTATTTTCAAATATACTGATCTCACTAAAGTATAAGCTGAAGCAAATAGAAAATACTGTACATACGTGAGCAGATCATTATTCTTACAATGAACTAAGTTTTCCCTGAAATATGGGTCAGTATCCTCCCAAACATGCTTCTCTCCCAAAAACGCAGCCATTTCTAATTCTGAAATGAAGCTATTAATGAACGTACATTCTGATTAAAGCTTCATACTTCCTGCATTGCTACATTTTCGATACGAACAGAAGCTCTACTTCTAATTATAAACTGCATAACTGCATACCAAAAATATTTATAACAAGAATCATATATTGTAATGCATTTTTTTCTTAGCTTATTGTAACCTGTTGGCGACTTGTACACCGAACTACAGGAATATTTAACGACATAACAATATACAAATACTGTATGATTTGTGTGAAGAGGAGCTAGAAAATGTGAAGATCAGAAATGAAATGAAAATCCTAAAAAGGAAACTATGCTAACCTCCTGGTTTCCTTTAGAATTAATGAACAGTACCTCTCGCTTATGAAGTAAAAAAATAAAGCT